AGAATTTTAATATGTTTTCTACTTGGAACTCACAGGAACTGGAAGAGAAATGAACACACTGAGTGGGTACACCTCTGTCAGGCTTTGAAAGTGGATGTGGGGCCATAAATAAATGATGATGATGATTATGATAATTTATTATTTATACCCCGCCCATCTGGCTGGGTTTCCCCAGCCACTCTGGGCGGCTTCCAACAGAATATTAAAATACAATAGTCTATTAAACATTAAAAGCTTTCCTAAACAGGCCTGCCTTCAGATGTCTTCTAAAAGTCTGGTAGTTGTTTTTCTCTTTGACATTTGGTGGGAGGGCATTCCACAGGGTGGGTGCCACTACTGAGAAGGCCCTCTGCCTGGTTCCCTGTAATTGGGCTTCTCGCAGGGAGGGAACCGCAAGAAGGCCCTCCGCACTGGACCTCAGTGTCCGGGCAGAACAATGGGGGTGGAGACGCTCCTTCAGGTATACTGGACCGAGGCCGTTTAGGGCTTTAAAGGTCAGCACCAACACTTTGAATTGTGCTCGGAAACGTACTGGGGACCAATGATGATATTCTCTGCTTGTTAGTTTTAGTTTTGTCTTTTTTGTGCTTTTAACTGTTCTCAGTTATCTTATGCGTAGATAACACTGACACACTGGTTTAGAAGGTGATTAATAAATCTGTGATGGTTTGGAGGGGTTGTGGCAGCACATGCCAGTTCCAACTCCTTTGCCTGAACATGCTTGGAAGCCTCCCCTTAATAAGAGTTCCTGACCCCAGGGGAGATTCTAAATGCACTCATAAAAGCACATTAATATCCCTTCAGATCTTCCTGCTGAACACAGGAAGGTCAGGGTGGAGCCAGCAGGGATGAGGATGCAGGGGTCAGAAACAGTATGTGCTGTGTTGCACCTATTCTGTGCATGATTTTAACACATTTTTAAAAAAATGCCCCACCAAGTGCCGCACTAACAGAGATGTGTTACCACACGTCTGGGCCAAATGTGTGCTGATATCCTCCGTTGGGCAGGATGACAGAGGTGACCCCCTAACCCCAGCCTGAGGTAGATTGATTGTATGATCAGGTTTCAAATAAATTTGCCCAAACTTTGCTAATTTTCATGTGGAATATTCACAGCATTGCTGCCTGTTCAATGAATACTTTATATCGGCATCTGACCTCTAATGTTCCTTGAGTTCAGTATTTGATATTTGACGATAGTAATCATTCTTATTATTCTTGTTGGCATCCATCTGCCTCAAAACCCAATGGATTGTGTCTTATTATTGCTGATATTTATTAGCTGCTTTCCTTATAAAAATGATGCCAAGTTGCTTACAAATGTAGAACCAGCTACAACAAACACAGCCAGTAATAACCACACACAACAGATGAGCAGTACAGATCCCAACCCACTAAAGGACATTGTTGCTTCCGATAGAAAAATTTAAACCTTGTATAGATATTGAAAAGTAATTCCTCGCCCACACACATGATACAAAATGGAAAAGGAATGGTGATAGAAGACTAAAACATACAGCTTCTCCTTCACTGGCTGGTGGAAAGGGCCAGGCTGATCTCCCCTAGCCCTGGTTATGGCTGTGCTGGTATTTTATATTTCTCTGTGAAAGCAGTGCTTGTTGCCATGTAGCAGTAATTAATATTTGACTGATTTCGCAGGCATCGCTCAATGATATTTAGCACTGGAATGTACCCGATCGTTTATGAGAATTCCTATTTGTCGCCTGCCAGTTCAGTATATTCTCAAAAATGTTTTGATTCAGGCGACCATTTAAAGACATCAACCCTCCCCTGCAGTCTGAAATGGTGCAGCCCAGCAAAAGCTGTGCCTCGTGATATTTTGTTCCACCCATTTAAGGGAATTTGGCAGCATTTAGATGCGGCAGAGGTGGCCAGTCCCAAGAACCAGTTCTGAGCCCTCTTGACCTGTGGTCAGCTGCAGTGCACAAGCTCCTTGTGTAAGCAGACACAGGCACTTCAATTCGTTCCTTGCTCCTAGATTGGAACAAGATAGTTCCCCCATGTTCCCTGACACTTCAGAGCTGGCTTCACCTTATCTGTCACGGTGTACCGAAACGTCGCTCGCTTTTGATAACGGAGTGTCCCCTGCACTGGTCCCAATTGCATGCTTTTAGCTTTCTTGGAAGTAAGATTGTGCAGGCCAATTAGCATCTAATTTTAGCAGCTGTACTTCAGCCCTTGAGAGGAGGCAGTCATTTTGGACTCACAAACATTGGTTAAAGATCATCCTCTTTCAAGAGCTCTGCAGGCTTGCTTTTCTATCCAGCTTTGTCGCTTTGTTGTACAGCTCTTATCACTGCTATCGGAGTACTGAGAAGTCATCGCATTTCCCTGGGGAGCAAGACTGAATTTAAGCAAGGTCCTTTATTATATAGATACATGCTGGTGAATCTCAGAGCAGTTTGTCCAGGGCTCCTAGGGAGCTTCAGCGTTGCTTTATGGAATCGACGCCCTGATTCTTCTTCACCCTCACTCCCACCAGAGATTGAAAAGTTGCTTTTTAAAATGAACCAGTTCTCATTCTGGTTTAGCATGTCCAAAAGGGAACAGCCTTCCTACAGGGTCCTTCCCACCTCAATTTCACAAGGGGATGTCTGGCGTCACCTGCACACAAACATTGAAAAAATTAGGGAAACAGAAAGAAGTCTAGTTTACAATATATATTTCTGGGAGTGTTTGATTCATTGTGAGTTCATGGGGTGATGTTAAAGAAAGAAGGGTGCGAGGCTGATGTGCTGAGCAGGAATTCCAAATTTAGGCCGTCTTTTGGCTTTTTTCAGCAAGGGAGTCACGGCTCAGCAATGAATCTCCACTCTTGATAAGTACAAGCAGGTGTGAAGCACTTGGAGTCAGCTTTCCCGAATGCATATATGTCAGCAGAACAGAGTAGTTAACATTTTTATGACAAGATGGGCATCTATGTTTCAAGACGGGGGAAATGTATAGTCTTATAGAGGTGACGGCTAAAGATGTCTTTGTTTTCTTTTAAAGAGCTCATTTTAGCCAGGCTCAAACCCTTGCTTCTTTTTGTTTTCATCGCAGACTTTGCATTCGTTAATATAAACTTATTGTAGATATAGTTTTTGTTTTTACCAAGAGGCATGTATTGAACTGAACAGGGGCTGAATCACAGCAGTGTTTGCTCTGCCTGTTGGTCCTCTGCACAAAACAGAGGCACAGGTAAAGGGCTCTGTAGCCCCCTCCTCTGTGTCAGAGCCCTTCCTTTAGGCACTTCAGATTCTCATCACCATTTGCCTCTGCCTTGCACATACAGGAGCCAGCAGCTGAGGGCAATACTCTCACAGGGCCCAGAAATTGGACTTAAAGAGTCTTCTGCCTGAACCCTTGGGTGGTGTCCTGGTCTGGTTTTGTAGAGGACCCTACAAAGCAAGACTTATTGACATATCAGGGGTTGCAGCACCATGGAGAGCTCTGAGTGAGAGTTGGAGCCTCTAATGTCTAGTCAACCTCTCCTAGATTCTACCTGCTTTTGAGAACTAGAGTCCTTAAAGGGCCAATGCTCTAGCCAGAAAATGGGCCCTCCTCCATTCCTTGGCCTCCTACCTGGTGCATTCAAGGTAGTTAGGAACCACATCTAGCTCCTTGGCTAGTGATTCAGTTCCATGTGGTATCAGTCAAGTCCCAGCCCTCATTATTTCCAAATGGACCTTAAAGACTTGCATCATCATTATTAATTCGTATCTAAAGTGACCCTGCCTTTGGGGACTAATTAGGCTCTGTAAATTGGAGGCTGTGTGGTGGGTGCTTTTTGTATTAAGGTCAATTGGTTTGCATTTTTCTGCATAGCTATGGATACTTTAAATGTTTAAAGGCTTTAATGCTGTTTCTTATGGGATAAGTGTTGGAAATGGTTGTAACCCATTTTGGAAGACAGTTCCCTCCCCTCCCCCTGGTCTAAGGGTCTCTTAAATAAATGAAATAAACAATCATAGTCTTGGGGAGAAGCTGTTGAGGTGCAAAATGGTGGGGGGTGGTTGAGGTGCTTATTGAATCAGGGGACAAGGTCATGAGTCCCTCGGCTCTGTCAAGGTTTGGCAGCCCCAGACTGAGGAGGAGGAGGAGGAGCAGATGGGGGCTGGAAACCTGGAAACCTTCCTTTGTGACCCTAGTTGTCAGAGAGGGGAGCTTAATTATACTTAACTGCATATGCTCAAAGACTAACATTATGCTTCCTGTGTATCTAAGATAACCTTTGGTTGTGAGAAGCTGAGCAGTATATGGCAGTATTATTATATAAATATCCCAAAATGGGCATAATCTACCTATAAGTTATCCTGAACAAATGCTAGTGAAAGGATGGTAGCTACCATTCAGAATGAACAAAGGTCCAATTCACAGACAGTAGCCCTTACACATGAAGGAACATCTTCTGTCAGAGAGAGAGAGAGATAAATTGAAACAGGTTCAAATATATAGCCCTTTTGTGCTGTTTTCAGTCACCTTTGGGAATAAAATGGAAATGACCTTGTTTTTGTTTGTAAATTTCAAAATGCACTAGAGGTGAGCTAATACTCATCTTATTTCAAACAGTGATGCATCTACCGGTATTTAAACCTGTTACCTGCTAGTGTAAACAAGACCTTTAGGATTGAACTAGGAAGGAGCAAGGAAAGGATCTTGTGAGAAGAGTTTGTGCAATGTTTATTGCATGCTATCTCTCTGCAGAACAGCTAACTTAATACCTAGGTATGTTTCATTCCCCAAAACACCTTTGTTAGCAGGAATTTAGATGAGTGGGGCTGAGATCTTCACTGCAGTGTGCAGATTTCTGGAAATGACGTTGGATAGAGCGGGGAAATCCAGTGCATCCCTCTGATATCAGTTTGATTTGACTTTGAATTGTCAACTATAGGTGACTGTAACAGCACATGGGTCAATAGATGCAAGCATATATGTAGATGAATTGTGCTCTGTCTTGACGGCCTTTGTTTATCTCTCTCATTCTTTTCCTCCTGCAGATTACGCCAGGCAGCAAGGCAGCACAGTCCCAGATGAACCAGGGGGACTTGGTGGTAGCAATTGATGGAGTCAACACAGATGGCATGACCCACCTAGAGGCCCAGAACAAGATAAAATCAGCCAGCTACAACCTGTCTCTTACTCTTCAAAAGTATGAGGAGATAAGTTACTACCATTGTGGGGAGATGGCTAAAAGGCACCACCTTAAGAGTGTTGCTGTGGGCATTGTGTTGTAGTGTAGAAGCAGGCTGTCCTGGTTCCTCATGATTCCTATTCCTGTGCAAACACATAACGTAAATGCAGCCTTTAAACCTACCTTTTTTAGAATCGTAGAACTGCAGAGTTGGAAGGGATCCTGAGGATCATCTTGTCCAACCCCCTGCAAGCCAGGAATATGCAGCTTTCCCATATGGGGATCGAACCTGCAACCTTGGCGTTATCAGCCAATTTTGTATTGCATGTGCATGCACACACACACCCCAGAGTAGAAAATAATTCAAAGGCTGCATTTTGGATGTGATGTTGTTGGGCTGGGGACAGAAAACATTATGAACTTGCACATCCTGTTCTTAAGGTAGCAGCATCTAAAGCAGCTTGCCAAGCCACTTTTGATGATGGAATCTGATGGAAATTCCAAATGTTTTGCTGTGTAGGCCTGGCTGTAGGTCTGATTCAAAGAGGACAATCACCCCACAGGAGTACCTGGGGCATGTCCTGTGTAGCCACTGGGCTCAAGCTCTGTAACTGGTGCTTCCACATGAGACTTGCATATGCTGCTCTACGTGGATGCATTTTCAGGCAGCCACTGCCCCACTGCCTCCCTGTGTGAATTAAGCTCAAGTTGCTTTATAATCAAGATTAAAATCCCATATATGTGTCAGATGCCATTTTATTTTGCATGTTGTTAGCAAAGTCGAATTCTGTGCAGAATTACCAGCTGTATATCACTGGACTTAAACATTTCAAAACTAGAGGTGTGTTGTTTTCCCACTTGTTCTGAACTTGTTGTTGCATCCTGATATTGTGGCAAATTGTTCCACCTCAACCTACCAAGTTCAATCACTGCCCTTCACGATTCTGCTAAGGTAGCAGCTCTACCTCCTAGGCCCTGCCCTGTCTTCTTCCCCTCTTTGGATCAAGCCCAGAAGCAAGTATTTTTCAAATCCACATTTAGTGACCTTAGCTTGAGCCCATTGACTATCTCAAGTTGGATGAAATTATATACCATAAGCTGTTTCATTTATTTATTTTTACTGATGGCCAAGTTTGTTTTTAAAAATTAAAATGGGAATAAGTTTGAGTCAAGTGTTACAAGGCATGTTCTTCAAGGCTGTTTTGGGTCCAAGCCCCTACAATGCAGGAATCTCAATTGAAGCATGCATGACAGGTGGCCATCAATATGCATTGAGTTTTCACAGGGGTCTTGTGCCCTCAATATGATGGTCAAGAGGACCTAATGAAGAGGCTGTGAGGCTTTGACACCAGTGCACCCCAACAGCAGTGCAAATTGAGTTCCCTCTCTGCCTACCCCTATGGGTGATTCTGCATGACTATCTGCAGTGGTTTTGCCTAGGTGTAGGTTGATTGCTATAGGGAAAGGTTGAAACTTGGCACTGCCCTGGCTTGTGATGGGTATGCAATAAGGATAATCTCTTACCTTGGGTGATTTGTAAAGGAGGGGGGAAAGAAGCCAGTTTATTGCATAAGAGCAGTTTATGGAATGTTGAGATGAAGCGCTGAGTAGGGTGAGTTGAGCCCCGTCTGAGTGATTGGTGGAAAAAGAAGTTAAAAAATAAAATGGAAGAGAGGGATAAAAACAAGTACTGAGGGTTGGTTATAGAGCAAAAACTTGCCTTGAAGTGAGCCTTAGAGCCTTAGAGCTGAAGACCCTCCTTCCTCCATTGTCTGCAAGATATATATGAATACAGTCATACCTTGGGTTACAGCCACTTCAGGTTGCTTTTTTTCGGGTTACAGACCGCCGAAACCAGGAAGTACTGAAATGGGTTACTTCTGGGTTTCGGCAGTCACACATGTGCAGAAGCGCTAAATGTGCTTTGCACATGCGCAGAAGCGCTGAATCGCAACCCGCACGTGCGCAGATGTGGATTGCAAACGCTGCAGGTTGCGAACGTGCATTCTGCACGGATCACGGTCGCAACCCGAGCATCCACTGTATGAGATTGGAGACTATTCAAACTAGGAATCCTGTGCCGACAGTCTGAAGTGATACAGCCCGGCATGCACTGTTTAGCTCTCAACAGTACCTCTTTCAACTTACCGGTATATACACTAATCCTCAAATTTAAATGATCCATGATCTCTGTTGTGTTCATTATTGTGATAACGGATGAACTCACTTTGACCACAGATGATTTCATTTTTCATTATTCAAGTACAAGTCTCGTGTGCTTCCCTTTACAGCAACTATAATATACATCAGTGGCTCCAGAGTTTTCTGACCTGCAGCTGAAGCTTCTACACCACATCCAGATAGTGATAGATATTTGCAGATGGTGGTGGGGATCTTCATACAATATTTACTGACCTCATAAAAACTTGTGTAGAATTCTTATGCTGTTGCAACCTGGTAGATTAAGGGTAAGAAAAAAACAACTATGAGACTTTAAAAAAAAATCAAATATAGTATTATCTTCCCAGTCTAAGCAACTGCCTCTAACATAACTCATTTCCAGTGCAGACACTCCTCCTAAACTGCCATTGATTCCAGTTGTAAAAGCCTTGGCAGTTTGCTGGGAGACAAATGTTCTTTTGCTGCAGATTCAGTCATAAATCAGGCATTTAACATCTGTGGTGACAGCATCTGAAGCAGACGTAATAGAAAGCATTGGTAGCATGATTCAAATTGTTTCCCTGCTCAAGGTTGCCGTGATTTGGGCACCGCAGTTGTCTAGTGCATACAGTAAATGCCTGTGCTTGTGCCCACCCCCGGTCTGTGTCCCTGTTGATGTGTGCAAATGCAGTTAGGGTGAAGACAGATGTAGCATTTTTTAAATGATCTCAACAACAGGCTCTTCATCTGCAGCGTGAACTTGGCTTTGCAATTGTTGGCAGAAATGTAGGCACCAAGAAGTTGAGTGCTGGATCAGCACATGAATCAATCCCCAGCTTTGCCTCTTCTGCTGTGTGTCTGATTCATTAGATATATTTTCAAAGTAAAATACAGTGGTACCTCTGCTTACATACTTAATTCATTCCGAAGGTCCGTTCTTAACCTGAAACTGTTCTTAACCTGAAGCACCATTTTAGCTAACGGGGCCTTCCGCTGCCGCCACACGATTTCTGTTCTCATCCTGAAGCAAAGTTCTTAACCCAAGGTATTATTTCTGGGTTAGTGGAGTCTGTAAGCTTAAGCGTATGTAACCTGAAGCGTATGTAACCCGAGGTACCACTGTATGTTTATCCATGGTGCTAAAAGTGCAGGCCTGAGCCTAGCGTTAAGCAGTTTAATAACTAATGTCTCACAGTGGCCAGGGAAATGTCTCCTAATGGATAGCAAAGATTAGCTGTTTTTTTTCTGGGATGTTCTGAATGGAGATTGCCATCAGTTTGGGGAAGGTGACTCCCTGTGAAGCTCAAGAGGGACAGATTTGCATGTGTGAAAGAGTGGTAGCAATAGAAGCAGTTTGGGACAGAGAGTGAGGCCTGCTGCCCTCCAGGAGTGCTTGTGCTCTTTGTCTCCACCTGTACTCTATTTGTGTGTGAATGTATGTAAAGTATCACAAAAACGTCTAAGTCTCCAGGGATCTGTCCTCTAAAAGGAAGCCAGACCCAGGCAGAGGTAGCCTTGGATCTTCTCACAGCTCAGAAAGGTAGGGTGTGCTTTATAATATATGTGTTCATCCATAGCCTTATGAAAAGGGGGGGGGGGAGTTAAGAAAAAAATTCACTGTGAATTGGTGTGTGTGTGTTGGTGAGATCACAGAAGCCAGCCTGTAGGTGCCCATTGTTGCTACAGAACTATCAGCATCCAAGAAATAAATAGAACCCAGAACTTTATTTTTCTAGACTTTAACCCAGGATTTGGTGGGGAAAGTATTTCTATTGCACATGTCACCTGAGAGCCTTAAAAAAATATTGCCAGAACAGGGGCAGAATAGTAGGTCCTAGCTACTTGTGCCCAGGGATGACCTGGTGTCTTAATGTTTTTGCATGCAACCTATCTTCAGGACTTTGCTCTAAATGAAACCAAATATTCAGAGAGCTGACCTCGTTTTATTAGCATAACCCAAAGACTTCATGCAAAAGAAAATGTGCACCAATTTCCTGGATGAGCAGATAACCAAAGAAAATGACTTGAATTTAAATTATGTGAGCCAAAGCCATAGCAAAATGTGAAGCAAGGGAACTGTAGACAGACCCATAGTCAAATACTAATCAGCCAGACAACCGCTGGCATAAAACTGAATCTGTAATTGTGGGGCAGTCTGTTGGTAATATTATAGGCTATCCTGTGGGAATAACAGAGACAAAGTTATGCTCTATTAAGACTCATTGATTTCAAATGAAAAGTTAAAATATGCACTTCAAAATCTCCTCTTGAAATCAATGGGTTTTAAAGGTGCTTAACATTGGCTAGGCGATGTCCGTATTTTTATCTTTATTTTACCATTTTTAACTAGCTGTTTTTCCCATGGAGATATATATAGTAAAAATGCTGAGAGGGATGTGTATTTATTTGCCTTAGATTAAGAGTGCATTGTAATTCCTATGGCAACCCTGTATGTGCTTGTCTTTGAGCTATGTGCTAACCCTTTGGAGTCAATAAAATTTACTTCTGAGTCGAGACTGTCATAAGTCGAGACTGTCAGTTGTTGCGTTGCATGTGGAGGAGAGCTCAGTTTTACATGCATCACATAAACCCTCTTAGCTTCACCGGAGACCCAGTAGACCATCAATCAATGCCATGTCTTTAAAAGGCACAGAAGTATTTATTACTCAGAAGAACCTACCTCGCGGTTAGAGATTCTTGCGGAATGTACATTGCTCACCCAGAACCCCACTCCCAAAATACCAATGGAGAAGGTAATGTGAAAACAAACCTTCACATTTGTCTGGGGTATATATCTCCTGGGTGGGTTGTTGAAGATAATCTCCTTCTGCAACATTACTTTGTGCTCGCCTTGTAAA